GAAGAAAGGACACCGAGAGGGAGGGGATAGGGAACAGGGACTAAAAAGGGGCTCCGGGAAGTAGGGGGACATGTCTGCTGGGGGATTTGGGGAAGCCACACCACTCAGTGTGGTCTAAGCATTTGATGCAGGAAGAGGAAAGAAGAGATGTGTCAAGAGACGAGGAACAAGAGACAGAGTTGCACTTGTGAAAGGTCACGTGGGGCGTTTGATCCTAACCTAATGGCCACAGGAAGCCATGGACAGTGTGTGGTAGAGGGAGTACACGTGAATTATAGTTACACTTACGATGTTGGTTAAAGACTTTGAAATGGGATGAGAAGGGGCCAGAAGGTGAGACAGAGATACTGGATGCTGATAATGCGGTGGCCTTGGCCCAGAGGAAGAGGAACACTTGGGGCACAGCTGACAAGGACAGGATTTGAGACTCACTGTGAAGCGATGGGAGAAAGAAGATTGCTGGTTGAGTGGCTGGATGGAGGTGCTACTCCAGAGAGAGGTTGTAGGAGGAGACACCATTGTTATTAGTAAGGACATAGCTCTTTTCTTGCCTGCCCGTTTCAAAACGGCAAATGCAGCTTAAGGTACTCATAGGTACCTTTGGAATGCTCATTTTAGCTCTGAGTTATCCTTCTCAGGGCCCTGATGTGGGAGCTCCTCTACTCACTCAATCTATCTGACAGCTTTAAGCAAGGCAAGAGGAAGATATCTGCAGCACCGGAGCAAAGCAAGCCCGTGGCACTGGGAACTCAGCGGCTCAGGAGACAGGGCTGACACATGCTCTACCTTTAGTGTAGCAAACTTTCCATTCCCCACCCTCTGCTCAGGCATCTGCACACACAAATCAAAACCCTCTTAAGTCATGGAATTTCAAAAAAATAAAAAACAAGCAAATAAAAAGTACTTCCTGGGGAGGGGTGAATGGAAAGTTTCTTTTCTTTTTTCTTTTCTTTCTTTCTTTTTTTGTGGCTCAGTTTGTTTTTCAGGCACAAGAAAAGTGATTCTGAATATTTAAAACCACGAACACTTGTATTCTTTTCAGAGATTTTTGGGACTGGTCACATAGCTGGGTTGTTGGTGATAAACATCATTTACATGGAAGCTAGCTTTGCTGATCCCATGCTTGGTACCAAATGTCCCATATATCTGAGAAGCTTAGTGGTTGTGTAGAAGCAAACAGATTCCTATCAAATACAAACATACATATTTACTTGAACTAAAGTGGAATTCAACTATAACTGGTCCAACTTTTCTCCCCTTGAGGAAGAAACACTACACTTGAATTTTATTAGAAAAGTTGTTTTTGTATTACAAGAATTTGGAAGTTCCTTTAGGATCTTAAGACCTCCATGAACACAGGAGGCCAAGGAAGTGATGTAACTGTGAACCCAAGGTCATTTGCTTGTGCAAAAGTTGATGACTCAAGGATAAGTTATCAGGGCAAGGAGTGAAATTTATTTGCAAAGTTATCAAACCAACAAAATCGAGAGATGGAGGCTTTTGCCAACAGGATCATCATCTAGTATAAGGGCTATAGCAAGTGGGTTACGTAGGGATTTCTGGGGGAGGCACCAGGGTAGTTACAAACTTAGGATGCTATGCTTCTGTAATGCGTGGGTTGCTGTTATCTGTAGTCAGTGGAAAGTCTGGATTCTGTAAATCTGAAGAAAAGTTACTGATTAGAAAGGCTTATGACTCATGCCATTTCCCAGAACTAGCTAATTCTTCAGTGAATTACTAACCATACAACAGTTATCTTCCCCCCCCCAGTGAAAATGGTGAGAAGATATTGGGTGGCTTCAATCAGTGAGGTCATCTTCAGCAAAGTCAGTGGCAGATGAATAACGTATCATCCGGCCATGTCACTTCCACATGTAATGATTTTTAAAAACTCAGCTAAGAACAAGAGAAGCTAAAGGGATAATTCAGGACTTTCTTCTATAAAAACACAACCAGTAATTTCTGGTCAGATGAACATGGATTGGCATAAGTGTGTATGATGGTGATGTACAGTGTGGAACCTGGAGTTCCACTGTGTTGGGATTCACCTGGTTCCCCTGTTTGTCAACTATGTGACCCTGCACTAATTGCATAATCCCTCTCACTCTCAGTTCCTCATCGATGACCCAGGAATGGTAATGGGATCTCCTTGGTAGAGTTGTTGGGAGACCTGTTGGGAACCTGCCAGGTGCTCGGCAAATGCTCATCATTTGGTTCTTGCCTGGAATCTTCCTCAAGAAACTATAGCTTGACTCTAGAATTGGGGCACCTTGGTGTTCACAGAGCAGTCCACACTTGTGATGTAGGAGCTAACTCTCTGGAGATAGTAAGGGGAAAGGACCCATACTGAAAAGTATGAGTTGCTTACACATGAGGATGGGCTAAGTGTGTAGTATTCAAGGAAAACCTCATCTACACCAATGACTGTTGTAGTTAAGTCCCTGCCATATTAAAGCTACAGGCTGGTCATGGAGCTACGGGCACCAGGAGAACAAGGTCTAATTAGCAGCCAACAAGACACACACAAGGTTGACCATGGCAACACTAGCCTGGGTTGAGTCAAGGTCAGCTCTGAACAAACTACAAGTGAGAGATGGACAGAGTGGGCTTCAGCCATTGAACTGGGTGGATAGCATATGAACAGTATATGATCAGCAATTTCTTGGACTCTCCATTGTCTTAGCAATTGGTGGCCCAGAGAACAGTTAGTCTTGTGTCAGTTACCTCAAACTTTGTTCAGTCTTTGTCATAGCTCTCTAAAGACCCTAGACAAGGAGGGTGAATGACCCTGTCCTCTCCTGGGAACCCTTCCACTCTTGGGAGTTACTCACAATTTAATTTCTCACTTTCTTCAGATTTTATGTTCTTGTAATTCTCTGTAAGAAAGTTTGCTCCACTTTGCATACTCCCCTGAGTATTCCCATCTCTAGTCTTCATTGGCATGAAACAAGGAATTTAGAGTCACTGTCCCAGATCCACTTAACTACAAGTGTCTAGCGCTGTAGGTTCTTGAGAAACACAACTGGTCTGCAAAAGGCCCTATGGCTCTCAAAATCCCTGCATCAGTTGGCCCCACAACCCAGTGGGATGTTGGAAAAACACATCTGTGAGCCTACTAGTAACTCTTCTTGATACTGTTGGGGGTACAGTGCAAAGGGAAGGAAAAATTGGGGCAACAAGTTCCCAGGCTGGTTCAACCTTCAGGAACACCTCACACTCTGACAAAGTGCCAGAGTCTTGGAAAAGACACCAATGGGTAGACCCAGAGGCCCAAGAAAGCTGCAGGATCAGCTCCCCTCCCCACCCTGGCTTTTAATGTTAGGTTCTCTTCCAGTATCTCCAACTGTGGTTCTGTAGCTCTAAACCCGGGTCTGCTTCAGAGCGACTACTCTTCTGACCTAGCGGTTACTTCTAAGGGTCAAGAGCCAGTCATTTATAAGAGACCCAGCCTAGACCCAGCATTCTAGAAGTCAGATAAGACCTCAGAGTGACAGGATCACAGGCCTTGGCATGAGTGATGGGCTCACAGGTCTTGACATGAATGTCTCATTCTGCTTTGCTACTGGGAATCTTGAGGACAAGTTCAAATGTCAGCAAAGACATTTTCTACAGGACTTGGAGCAGGCCTATTTGTGAGATAGGAAAAATAACTTAATACATACATAATAATATAAATATATACACGTAAGCAATGCAAATGTAATATCAACTATATTCATAGTATGGTATATTTTATACATAGTAAACATGTATTAGTCTACAATGAAGTTGTGTGTGTTTGTGTGTGGTGTGGTGTGTGGTGTGTGGGGTGTGTGTGTGTGTGTGTGTGTGGTGTATGCCAGGGCATGAAGAGGCTGGAAGAGAACATTGGCTGTTTTTCTCTACCATTCTCCCAGTTGCAGCTTGAGACAGTCTCTCATGGGTCCCGAAGCTCACTGTTTTGTCTAGGCTGGCTGGTAAGTGAGCTCTCAGGATCCACCTGTCTCTGCCCTACTGTGCTGTGCTGGGCATAGTCAGCCACACCCAAGTTTTCACTTGATTGTTATGGATCTGAACTTAGATCCTCATGCTTGGCAACAAGTGCTCTTACACACCAAGTCATCTCCTTATCCCCTCTACATTTAAATTTTAGGTGTATTTTTAACTAAGATACATTTCACATAAAAATTTAGGTGTCTGTAAATAAATTATTTGTATTATTGCTATTGTCTCCCTTATCTTTTTTGCAGGGGCAGAAGCATTTATTAGGCTTTTTAGCTTTCTTGCGTCATCTGTGCCTGTTCCTACAGACTCCTGAGTTCCTATGGATGGCTGTAACACAGAGATCAGGGGTTAAGTTGATCTAAACCTGAACCTACCATGTATAAAACTATAATCTACAATGAGTGTCATGTAAATATTGTTTTTCAGCTTTCTTGAATGTTCCTCATTCAGATGTTTTAAATTTCGATTTCCTCATTAACTCCATTTATTTTCTGTCCTACTTCACAGGACGTGTTTTAATCTCTAGAGTGAATAGCCCAGAAAGAAATGTGTCAAAATATGTCTTATTCGTCATGTGGGTTGGATCCCGCAGTCCCCAGCAGCTATTGATCTAGAGATATTTCTGAATGAATGGCTTCTGAAAATAAGAGGCTTTGTGCCTCCAGCCAAAATGAGGGCAGCATTGTCCTCCTGCCTTTTTGACCAACAAGAACCGGTGAATTAAACGTTCACCCCATAAACAATAATGCTTCCCACACAGCATTGCTATCAATAGCCTATGAAGTTCCTCACCATATGCATGACACATAAATGGCTTTGAAAGTAAAATTCATTCACTCATTCATTCATTTACTCATGCACTCATCCATTCATTCATGCAGCACTGGGCGCTTAACATGCAGGAGGAGGCGCTGTGTTAAGTTGTCCGTGTAGAACCTTTAACTGGATGGTAAATGTGACACTACATCAACCTCCACAAACCCACTTCCTCTCCAGAAAACAGAAAACAACTGAGAACGTGAATTCAGTGGCACTTTTGAACACTGGAAGGGAGGACTGCAGGTGCTCTTGGTAGACATGAAGTCGTCTTTGTGGTGTGCCTTTGCCCTCTGCTTCCAAATCCGGGCTTTAACAGGTGAGTGGCCCAGCCGAACTTCTTATTAACTTACAATTCAAGTGAAAAATCTAAAGTAGAAAACCTTGGTACAAATGGATTTTTTTTGTGTTCTGAAAGCACAATTTCCAAAGCATTCCAGCCCACGGTTCAGGGCTCTGAGCCTCCCCTGTCAGAGGATGGCACTGAGTTTGCATTGCTTCTTTTGATACTGTGTTTTAACAAGAAAAATATATTTCAACAGACCACTAAAATTTTAAATTACTTGCTGTGAGTTACCTGTCAGTGGGTAAAGTAGAAGACTGACTTCACTGTTTTCAGAGAAAGATGAAAGGCAAGATAACTTCTGTCAATAGAATGAAAATGAAATAACCCTGACATGTGGGCTGGGGCTCTTTCTATGGTGGAGAATAAAGTGGATGGTTCTATGTCTTAAATGCATAGCTGGTCATGGGGTTTTTTCTTTCTTTCTTTCATTTCTTAGAGACAGAGTTAAACCAATCTTGCTTGCTCCCATGAGGTTTCTAGACACTAAATGTCAGGGTCATCTGAAATAAAAAGGGAGAAGGGACGACTGAAGCCTTCACTGGCTCCCATAAGCCTTAAATAGTTTGGTGCCTTTGGTTCTTTTTCGTGGGTTGCATTTGTCAGACCACACGGGCAGATTAAATGTGGTTGTGTGCAGTGAAAATTATTACACACTCTTTTCTGTTTCTTATTACATACACTTACATATTATTTTTCCCTTTTTCCTTAACCATAGGTGCTGTTCTTGAGATTGGGATAAGTGAAGCGAGACACTAAGTGGTGGGGAGAGAGTGTCTTTAATAGGAGATGTGAAAGCAGAATAGTCAGTGTTATAAGCCCATCCAGAAACACAATTTTCAGTGGTACAAAGAAGTAGACATTACTTTTCCTTCCAAAAAAGAATGTTAAGACTAAAATTGAATTTGTTCAGCAGTTCATCTTGTGCTGTGTCAAAGTTAAGCAAGTGTTCTTAAGAAGGAGGAGGAATGAACAAAGAGGGTTGACTCTCTTTGGTTTACCTGGAATAGGTACCAAGAACAGCTCTGGGCCACTGCCTTTTCAGTTATGCTTTCTTCCTGAAATTCTTAGCAGCATAAATGACCCAAGAATAGCCATGGCAGGGAAATACATTCATGTACTTGTCCACCCACCTCGTTATGCATGCGGCACTGGACACTCACCATGCAGGAGCTGCTATGCTAGCTATTTTGTGAACAATGGTGAGCAAAACCAGGTATGCTCACTCTGCGGAAACTAACTGAGCACTAGAGAAAGAGGCGTCAATCAAATAACCCTATGAGCTGATGACAAGTATAGGCAGAACTCATTTCCATGAGACATGTGCCAAGGAGTCAGGTCAGGCAGGGTGAGTACATTTATGTAGCTGGAGCCACACAGACTTTTCTGTGGAAATAGTACTTGAGTTGAAATTGAAGGACAAATAGGAATCAGTGGAGACATCAGTGTCAAGGTAGGAGAGAAAACTTTATGGAAGATCAATACAAAGTATCCCTAGTGTTCAAAAGAAGGTCAGGGGGCTGGACCAGGGTTGATGCAGCTGAGCACAGGGGAAAGAAGTTGGGGATGGTGCAAGATGAGGCTGAGAAGGACGGGGGTCAGGCTACTCAGACAACCAGAACCAGGCTAAAGATTCTGGCTTTTATTTCAAGAAAATTTGTACAAGTTATTGCATGGTTTGTTTGTACTGTCTCAAAAAAGTTTTCTGTGTACCAAACCAGTTTGGGCAGTTATGGTGATGGTGCTATACTCAAAAGAATAGTATGAGCAGGGGTACTATTTCTATAGGAGGACAGATTCAACTGTAGGATTATCACAAGTTGCCAAACTAAGCTGATCAATAAATTCTTCTGGAATAGTCACCCTAGGTCCCAAAGGAAATGTTAATTATTCTCATCACACGGAAAACCGTACTATGTAGAATGCCATTTTCCAATGACAGGTACCAAAACAATGGAGGCACGAGCAACTAAAAGGTGATAATAAACATGCTAACAATAATCATATTCAAAGTGCCCCCCACAAGGGCATATACACCCAGGAACTCCCATTTCCACAGGTAGAAACAGAGACAAACTCACGTAAACTCATGGGCCCTCTGTAATACTTTTAATGCTTCTAACTCTTGGTTTTCTCATGCCTCTGTAGGGATTCTCACCCTTAAGCAGTGCCAAGAAAGACTCACAAACCAGGAAATACTAAGTGATTTGTCACACAGCAATCAGTGGCAGAACCATCATTAGAATCCCAGAGTGCCCAGTTCCACTGAAGTGGGAGAGAAATAACATAAACTTCCAGGGGGTAGGATTCTGACCAGCTTTGTTATTTAGTGGTAAAGTAAGACTATTGAGAGTCTTAGGATGTGTCCAGTCTTCACTGGATCTCAATGTAAAATTTAATATCCTTCTTTTTTTCATGATTCTGGGATCGTAGGAGGCTCTTCCTTACAGAAGAAACCATACAAGAAGAGCTTCTTCCCAGGCAATGGGAATGTTACTGGGTGACCTACTGAATTCTGCTTTAGAGAGACTGCTTTGGAAGCAGTGTGGAGAATGCAGTCAGTGAGGCTGATTGCTAGCGGGCGATGTTTAATAAATGCAGGTCTCATGAGGTATTCTATCAGGAAGCTGGGAGCTATCCCTCAGGCCCACGTTATCTCTGACAGTGACCGAAGAGTCGTTTTAAAACCCCACCATCTTGGGAGAAACAGTCCTTCGGTGCTTTTAGCACCGCATCCTCCACTCAAGACCCCGAGAGGTCTGTGGAGATGGACAGACCTCCGAGCCCCGCCCCCCACTTCAGCGCCTGTTTCTAGAATTCATTAAAAACTCTGCATTGACAACCTTTTCTTTGGATAGATGAAATGAAACTATCCTCAGCATGACAAGCCTTGATTTTATTCCTCTAAGACTATGCATTTGCCTCTTATTTTCCTGTGTTATTGAATCTTCTCAATTTCATCTTACGTTTTGTAGGGATAGTAACACTTCCTTTTAATATTCTTCTTTGCTTCTGGTGAATTTGGAAGGTTACTGATACTTTTTAAATTCATTTATTTATTTTTTGTTTTATGCAATTGGATGTTCTGCCTGCACTTAGGCCTGTGCACCACATTCATGCCTGGTGCCCCAAGGTTAGAAGAGGGAACTAGAGTTAGAGGTGGCTGTGCGATTTCATGAGGGTGCTGAGAACTGAACCCTGACCTCTGGAACAGCAACAAGTTCCCTTAATCACTGCGTCATCTCTCCAACCCCTGGTGATATTCCTTAGTAAATCAAGTCATTATGTTCAGAGGATCACAACTGAACAATTAGTTAAATTCATGCATTGCTGGACATTGATTCCAGGATCCTACACTTGCCAAGCAATGGTTTAACAGCTGAGCTGCATCTCCAGTCCTAGTTAGAAATAAGCATAGGCAAGCCGGGCGTTGTGGCACACACTTTTAATCCCAGCACTCGTGAGACAGAGGCAGGCAGATGTCTGTGAGTTTGAGGCCAGCCTGGTATACAAGATCTAGTTTCAGAACAGCCTCCAAAACAATACAGAGAAACCCTGTCTCGAAAAACCAAAAAAAAAAAAAAAAAAAAAAAAGAAAAAGAAAAGAAATAAGCATAGGCATACCATTTCCTGGAATGCCTAACCCTTACTTGCCACACTGGAATAAGAACATTGAGGTGAACTCCTCTCCTCTTTATTTAATAAAAAAAGAAAAGTCTTATTAGAATATGGTACAAAACATTTTGAGACAAGTTCTTCTATAGCCTAGAATTGTTTTAACCTTCTGACTCTTTTCCTATCACCTGCCTAGTCATTACAGGTATGTGCCACCATAGGTTTATGAGGTTGGAGACTGAACCCAGAGTTTCTTGTAGGCCAGACTCTATCAACTGGCAAACTTCTAGAAATTTGTGATTGTGAAAGCTGTTTATTTACTTGTTAATTTGTTTGTTTGTTTTTCGAGACAGGGTTTCTCTGTATTGTTTTGGAGGCTGTCCTGGAACTCGCACTGTAGACCAGGCTGACCTTGAACTCACAAAGATCTGCCTGCCTCTGCCTACCGAGTGCTGGGATTAAAGTTGTGCGCTACCGATGCCCGGTGGAAAGCTGTTTATTTTTAGGTTGGAATTCAACACTTCCAGGCTCACTTGGCACCCCTTCTCATGTGTGTTCTGGAATTTTGTATAGAACCATATATACTCCTCTTCCATTTGTGAATTAAACTTTATTCTTTTTTTTTTTAGGTATTTTTTCCTTCTTCTAGTATTTGTTTGATCGCATTTTCCTCTCTGCCTTCTCCACTCCATCTCTTTCTAGAAATCTCTATTATTCTCATGTAAAAACTTTTCTCACCAACATGAGCAGAATTGCTTTCATTTTTGTGCTTATTAACTACAGCTTCTTCAGATGTAATGCGCCATTAGACTTTCTGAATTACTAGTACCTTCCTAGTAACCCGTAGGCGCACGGGAAAAAAACCCAGATTTCATCTTAGTTTTGCTCATATCACCATCTATAGCATTCATTGCTTGATGCAATATGTTCACTCTCACATATGCAGTAAACTGAACAAACACTACTGTATATGGTACATTCCCATTTTAAGGTCATTCACTTTGAGATGTAAAGTGAATTGTCGGGCTTTCCAGTTTTTAAAAGACATATTTAAGAATATTATCATATTATCTACATTAGTGGTAACTCTGTGCTGTCATTCTTTTAACAAACATAGTCTGCCAAGTGGTGGTTTTCAGTCATTCTGAGAAAAAAATTAGAGATTTTATAGGAAGTCAAAATTATGTTTTAGAAAGTGGAACATAAGTTTGTACAGACTATGAAATATATATTGAAGCTGTTAGTCAAACTACAGTTTGTTTCCCTTGGTTGGTCTCTAAAGTTGTCTAAACTATACAGTGATGTGCAAATTTAAAGAGTCAGAAGTTGGGGTTGCCAACCTCGGAGGGATGTGCGTGGTA